CTATCTACATATATGTATATATAAACTATACTGATAGGCAAATATATCATGCACATAAACCACTGAATAATTTTTGTGCAAATGAAATGAGTTGAAAAGGATGTATTTGGCAAGCATATCATACTTCTTAAACATCGTACACCTATGATCCAGCGTGAGTTCCTTGATTATATTTGCACAGATTTTTTTTTGTCTATTAAAGCATGCAATAAAAGAACAGCCTGGTGTCTTACGCAGGGCATTAGGCAGACTGTAAGCCGTCTGCATCAGCGACACCCATGCAGCTTCCTTTAGCTTCTGTTTTCTTACCTGTAAAATGTTAATGGTGGCAATGAGGCAGATCTACTTTGAAATATTTTTTAAGATTTATTAATGCAAAGTATTTTTAATGTGGTATGTGTGCATATATGTATATATGTATATATGTATCCACTATTAGAAAAAAAAGTTCTTCTCCAAATAATGAATATTAGAATCACATAGTCACAAATACATGACATGGTTTTGGCACTGTTTTGAATATAGTTTTGTGTGATTGTAAAACAAGAAATAACTGTGATATTTTTCAGAAGTAATATATATTCTGCAGAAGAGAGGTTATTGTGTAAGCCCATGACGGGTTCAATAAAGTGATGAAGTTTTAAATTTTCTTTTTAATGTAAGCCACCAAGACATCATTCACACATTACTAGACAATGTCCCTTCTGCTTAATGACAAAGTGGTATTTTCATGTTTAAGTTAAACACTTCTGTTCTCCTGTGAGGAATGCAATAACAGTTGTAGGATTTTACCTTTGAATTTAATTATTTTCTTCTGTGCTGTAGTTCTCATGAGAATTAAAAGAAGCTAAAAAGTTAGTCTTTATAATAGAATGGAAGTTTTGCTGTGAGGACTGCGATACTGTTTTTCAGGAAGTAAACTTTATGACTTAAATATTTGTGGAAATAGTCCGTATATCTGCCCACAGGGTTTTTCACAATATGAGCAGCCATTGAGCACACTACCATTTTATGCATTTAGATGGTGAGAAGTTTTCAGTTTGCTGTGTTGGCCTCTTGTCAACCTATGATTAATATGATCTTGCTGAGATAACTTCAAACATAGAGCAACCCTGATTAAGTAAAAATAAGCTGCATATCTCTACATGTGTCAAAAGGATACATTTGATGCAAAACCAGCTTTATCCAAGTCATTTATCCGAATCTGTTTCCTTTGCCAACAATTTTGATGGTTGCACGCCTACAAGCCTCAAAGCATGCCTTGAAAGATAGTCCTAATTATTTTTGTTATTATTTTCATAATACTATGAAAGGTAGGGATAATGAGAGAGGATTTTAGTTATTTTATCTCTTAATATTGTTTTGATTATGTCAGTTTTTGCAGTTACTACCCTGCTTGTAATTGCCCAGATTACTTTTATCCCATGCTTTATTCTCATTAGTTAGGAGTCTTAATACCATTTTCCATAATGTAACCTATCAAAAGATAGACCTTGGGCCCTATTTAGTTTGTTTTTAACTTTATTTTGACTCTTTTTTCATTTCTGGTTCTGTAGTTTGTCTGAAAAGAATGTTATTTTAATTGTCTTTCCAAAGACTGACTCAGCTTGTTGCTATTTCATAGCCTGTATTTCCCACCTGTGTGGATGCAGTTTTCTTTGATAAACAGTCCTTTTCAACAATTCCACATGATTTTTGCTTGTACCTTTTTTCCTGATTGGTATTGTGAACCTTTTGCTTAAAAGCGGTACTTTCTTCTTGGGTTTTGCCATTTAGTGTCTTTAAGCAGTGATAAGGCAGGAGATCTTCATTGAGTTCTCAATATTAGATCTTTGTCCTTACCACAGCATAGTACAGGGACTTCTGATGACCAACAGACATTTCTTTTGCTACCAAAACAAAGTGCAAAGTATCAGATAAACAAATCAGTTTAACCACACTAAGTGAGGACTTTCTCTTTCCTACGGAGGACGAGATCCATATATAACCCATGTGTCTACTTCTGTTTAACCGTTTCTTCTCAGAGCAAGTCATTCTCTGTAAAGAATATGGGAGGGAGTAACAAGCTTGTGTCTGAGAAGGAAGTAGACAATTCTAGGGCATAATAGCAGTGGGAGAGTTGTGTGTGTGTTAATAGTGCTGTGTTGCCACCAAGATCATTTTGGTATGATCTGCATGCCACTGCTATGTGTGATGTAGATATATATTGTTTGTTGAGTTCACTGGACGTCCAAGTCATTTCACAGAAATATTTTGTTCTGATGGCAAGCATATCAAAGGTGCTTGAGGAGAAGGCGGAATCTCCATCGCTGCCATTATTTTAAAGATCAGTTTGTTAGCCAAACACTTCTCCTTTCAACCTGACATGCAGCTGACAGAAGATTATGGCTAATTGTTCTCTGTGGCAAAGGGGAATGGATAGATCATCCCTTGAATACTTCTCCAGGCCTGTGTTTCTGTGAAGCCTGCACTTATGGTTGTGTTAGTGCATCTGCTTTGTGTTATTTATACTTGGAAGCCACACTGGCCTAAGAAGGTAATCTAGCAGTGGCACAGCTTTGTTGTTCCGGGAGGGATTGACAAATTAAAGGAAGCTGCACATACATGAAGGTACCAGGTTGAACCTTTTGAGAGAATATTTTTCATTTATTACAAATTTAAATCAATCTGCAAATATTCCTTTTCAGTGATACATGAAATTGTAGCACGTTTTTCTGTTGTTTTAATAACTGGTGTTAGTCCATCAATAAGTAGCATATATTCTAAAGGTGCTTTTCTGTTTGACTTTGTACTTAATGGGCTGTGCTAAAAATAAAGTAAGTTGGTACATTTTCAAAATATTACCTATTAGAGGAAAAAAAAATGAAAATTACTCCTTGTCCTTGTGTTTTTCAGGCATTGGTGGTAATCTAGTAGCTATTCAAGCTAGCAGAATTTCTACCTACCTCCATTTACACAGCATTCCTGGAGAACTGCCGGAAGAAGCAAAGGGTTGCTATTATCCATGCAAAACCTATTATGGCACAGGTATGTATAAGTTAATTGTTAAAACTAGTGTCTGACGTCTCTTCTTTCCCCCACCCAACCTTTTGTATGACCCCAGTACCCCCAACAAAATAAGTCTCTGTACATCATTCAAAGGCATTAGAGGTATGAAAGTTTCATTTGCCTGCAGAAGTCTGACTGAAGGGGGGGGATGCATAGAGAGTAGCAGGGATAAAGTTGTAACCATCAATCACTAGAGTGAAAGGTGAGGATTGGTGGGGAAAGGAATTGAGGATAACTACTGATAACGATTTCAACCTATATCTTGCCTTAGCTCACTTATCGGCTCCTAACTTCTATCATCTAACTTCAGAAGTTCACACCAATGTCTTGTTAGGACGAAACCTTATTTCTACAATAATTACTAAGATTAGTCCCTGTTTTTCACTCTCCATTTGACATTTCCTTTCTAGATTCATGCCTCCCAGATTCGTGCAGTTTATTCCCCTATTTGTGCTCCGTTAATTCCTCACTTTCCTAATAATATAGTAGGTATAATGAAATTTGAATTTGCAGTAGCATCTATTACACTTTCATATTTGTGAAGGGGATTGGGGCAGAAAAGAAAATAGGGGCTACTTTTTTTAAAAAATGAGTTTCTTCTAAGGCTAAGTTTCGAATATGCAGTCCAAAATATCCTCTCTGCTAGGAACACTGTAGGAAATAACTTTAGCTCCAAAAAATAGATGGAAAGCCATGTGTACAGAAACCAAACGAATGTAGAAAATGTACGGATCCAAAGAGGACAGTTTGTACCCTCTTCTGGAAGGGCCTTGTTTAACTTTGCTGGCAGAATCTAGAGATGCCTTTCTTTCCCCAGGGGAAACCCTCAAGGATTCTTTCTGTGGAAAATAATGCCTGTTTTTCAACAAAACTGTTTTTTATATTAAAGCTATTTTTTAGAAAAACGTAGTAATTGAAGAACTTAACTGCATTTTGAACTTTTTATTATAGGAGTGAATAACAAATCAGCCCAAGTTCTGCTTCTTCTGGTGATTCCCGGACACCTAATTTTCTTGTACACTATCCATTTAATGAAAAGCGGCCATACTTCCTTAACTCCCATCTTCATAGCAGTATATTTGTTTGCAGCTCTGCTACAGGTAAGAACAAACGTAACGTGAAAATCTTTGTATAAAAGTACATCCCTGAAGAAAGTCACTCTTTATCTGATTCCTGAAATCTCATGAACGGTGCAAGAGATTATGGGTTATTACCGGCTTTCAGCACAATTTGGAGGTAACTAATTATCCCCACATGCATAAAGCTTGCCCTGTATTGTGAGTGCTTCTCATAAGATACTTGATTGCATTATTTCCCAGTCATGCAGCTCTTTTTCTTGTTTCTTGGCACCACTGCTTCTAAAAACCTCTCATTTTAATCCGCTGGAGTAGTGGGTAGAGAGAAAGAAACATTTATGCATTTATGAAAAATGACTACACCAGGAAAATTTATCAAAGCTCTCAAATGTGGTTTCACAAAATGGTTCACAGTTCTGTTTTAGTTAACATTTTGAAAAATGTACTAGATAAGAATGTTGTGGCTTGGTGCGTTCATAATATTTGCTAAAGCTGAAATTAGGCAGACAGTAAGCACTCTAGGAGAAATGGTAATTGCATTAATTGTTAAATAGTTTTATATCACTTTGGCTGGTCTTACCTAGCACTCTGTCCAAACCAAGCAATGGCAGGTTTTGAAAGAAGTCTTTTGAAACAGCAATGCCTTAAGCTGAAGTAATTTCACTCAGAGTAATCAGTAATATAAAATGAAATGTTTTTATTAAATTCACAGCCAATTTTTTACTAAAACTTGGCTAACTAAAATGTGTCATTGAACTTAAAAAAAATTGAATATTCAGGTTGCACAAATTTTGAAATATCCACATGTCCACGTATTGTTTGTAAATATGTGACCAACTTAATTTTAAAATACAAATTATCATCCAATAAGTCCCTGATAAAAATGTATTCTTAATGTTTTGTCTTCATGTGCTACCACTCTGCTATTCCAGTTTTGAAAGTTTTGAAAACTGCCTCTATTTTAATTTTATGTGAGAATTACCTATTTTTTTTTACCTATAATATAACCAGAAAACTTCGTAAGTAAGTGTCTCTCACTAAAAGTTGTCAAACCATTACTTTTAATTTTTCTCTTGCATACTATTTCTGGTTTCCAACCTTATCAGTTCTTTTTTCCTCAGGAGATTATGCTGTGCATTCACTTTGCCTGTTCTGTCTAGTCGCTCTTTTTAATAATTTTTGAAACTTTTGATCCATTCCAGTCAACTGGATTCTTTCCTCCATTTTCATTATTCTGTTATTTTTCTAGTAATGGTTATCCTAAATTTATGTGATTGTAACTATAGCAGTTTTAAAATTTTCAAAGAGATTTGTTGCTTTAAACCTTAATTCTCAAATATATTTCATTTGCCTGTCAGTCTGATACCCTTCTTCTCTACTGCATTTTTGTGCTTTTAGTCTCTCCTTTTTAAAGTAGAACACTTATATATCCACGCTCATTCCTCTTCCAGTTTTTCATGGCTTTGAAACTGTTGTTCCTTTCAAGTCTGCAAGAACCAACATCTACTGATTTCATTTCTCCAGATTTCATTTTATTTTATTTTTCTCAGAGTGATGACTTTTCCAGTTCTACAGTAAAACTGAAAAACCTCACAGCTAATTACTGTCATTTCAATTATCAACAAAACAAATCAAATGAGAGTCTCCAGCAGTGGAAGATCTGTATTTTAGGCCTTTTTGATAATGGAATTCACAGTTACCTTTGTGCCTTTAAGTCTAATATATTATGAAGATGTGCTTCAAGTATTACAAACCTGCATTCTAGCAGGCTAAAATAACATCTCTATTTCAGTTTGAGATAGTAAATAGTAAGCTGATAGACTATAATGATTCCCAAAGATAAGAATTAATTGTGGTCACTCCTGTGTTTGAGGAGTTTTTGTATCACTGCTTTATACTTTCTAATTCATTACTTACTTTATTGAGTTATCAGTAAAAATATGGAGCTGAATCATAATTATAACTTTTTAACATTTTTCCCTTTATTAAAAAATATGCCAAATTATTGAAAGGCAACAAAAAGTGAATTTTCTCTCTTTAAAAATCAGGTGGCTTTTGTGCAATGTTTACATTGTTTAATAAAGTGTTTTACAGTGGACTGAAGCTGATTTTTACTTAATGTCACTATATTATTTATTATCTCTGATTGTCCTCTGCAATGTTTGCTAAAATGTGTGTGGGCTTAGGGAATGACAAAAGTAGAACTAGAATGTTATAATAAGCTGAAAAAATCATAGAAATGTTAAATGAAAGGTTTCATTACAAGTTCTTTGTTTGTATTTTGCCCTACCAGTTTATGCTTTTTCTAGGTCAATGAAATAATCCACACTACCTTTACAGTAAATTTGTAACATAAATATGAATTCCTCTATTTGGCATTTTAACAAGACTTTTTCAAGTTGCCTGTAAACCTCAATATCCTTCCTCACCAATCGATAAAACAGAAATTATTTCCATTACAAGCTCCATACAATACTACTGAAATCCCAGGCAAGTAGTTAATTTTGTTTTCATCTAATTCTGTTACTTTAATTTTTTGCTTGACTTTCTTTTGCTTCTCCTTTTCCATTCTCAGAAATTCTCTCAACGGGATGTCTCATAACTGAAATATTTGTAGGAAATATGTAATTAATAAGGCATGATTTACATTAGCATTAGTATGATTTAGCTTTTATTGAATGAAAATACACCATATAGTAAAATGAAGAACACTTGCATTGAATATATAGTTGTTTTAAAAGATGGTAATATGATTAGCTAGTATGATGGTCTGCAACATCTCATTCTCTTTGCTTCTCTATGAACAAAACAGTTCTCAAATTAAGAAAACCCAGAAAGTTTGGATTTCTTAATATTCCTACTCTCAAAAGTACATTGGTGGTGTTCTTGAAATATGCAACTATATGAAAGTATGCAACCATTTAAATTAATCTGCATTCAACTAGATTTTTTCAAGACTGACTTCAAAACCTTTGAAACAGTTCTGTAGTGGAGAGCCTGTGTTATGTTTATCAGTGGCAGCATCTGAGGAAAATACCAAAACAAAAAAGTATCATGAGGAAGCTCATCTATGCAAATAGGTACCTGTAAGTCTGTAGGTCAAGTTATGCAGCGTATTTTATCTGGGCAAATCATTGTGCATTAATGGAAAACAGTAGACAGATTTTTAGAGTGGTTTAGATTTGTTAAGTGACATCTCTACAGCAGGAACACTTCTTTGAAAATGCTGCAAAACCAGTCTCTCACAGACACACGCACACACGCACGCACACACCTTTCAGTATGCTACATGAAGTTACAGTCTGCCTTTTGAGCAACACACAAACCATATAATAATTGAAAAACAGTCTCCTCCTTTACCTTTTAAGGGAACAAATATTTTTCAACTGTACGAAGCTATGCACTGAGCAAAGTTTCATCTTCTATCTTGTCAACTGCAGTAGAACGAGAGCAACGCTGGGACTGCCAAGCCATCCGTCCCGACATACCGCTTTGGTCGTTCAAAGGCTGCCTCTGTTCTCACTGAGCCAGTAAAATGACCCCTAAGGAATTTTCACACCTCCTAACCAAATCTGAGCACACAGTTATATTACAAACTCTGGGAATGAGCAAACAAGAGGAGATTCTAAGATCTATCATCAAGCAAATTAGTCATTCCTAAATACAATTGTTCTTACGCAATAAGGATCAGGTGTCTACTCCTATAAAGTAACTTGTCAGTATTTTAGAGTTGTTTGGGGCTACAGAAAACCTAGAAAGAAGCAATGCTCTTGATGATTTCTGTTTACGTTAGAAATGTCTTAAGTTTTTAAATACTCAGGGATTTCTAATAGAACATGATGGTATGGTTCTCTTCACTGTGAAAAAATTGCTCATGGGGTATAAGGTAAATTATATTACCATATTAAAAATATGGAAAATTTTGTTGATAGAGAAGATATTGATGCATTTTCAGTATTGCTTTTTCAGACAGAAAATGTTTACTTCCAAAATATAGACCACGCACATGCTAAAGAGAATCCACAAGTCAAGAAAACAGAAAAAAAATAGTACACAAACCTGGGCAGATCTGCCTGTTTATTGCCATATTGTTGGGATATGAAAGAAAAAAAAAAAAAAACCAGACTTGCCGAATTCATTGAGGCCTGAATCTAGACATCGCTGTCTCTTTCTTCTCGGGACACGTAACTGTCAGCAGTAGAAGCCTGGTACCTACAAAGCCATTAGAAGGGAGATACCACATTTTTTATCCCAGAAGTTTAAACTCAAAGTATTTGTGCACGTAGCAGGGCTTACTAAGTTATAGCTAGTGAGCATTCAGTGTTATGGATTGTACTCTTGTTCAGCCATCTGACAAGCAGCCTAAAATTGGGACTGTTTTGATTAAACATGGGTGTCTGGCAAAGATGCAAGGAGAGCAAGAAGACAGATTGAGGAATCTGGTTTTAAATGATGGAGTAAAAGAATTTCGTTCCCACTAAATGATACAATCAAATTGGTTTAGAAACACCTTCGGTTAAACTGGTATAATCTTTTTTGCTTAAATAAGGTGTTATTCATATGTAAGCTTATAGTGTGCTGTCTGGGTACTTGGATACCATAATGCTATGCACTTGAGATAGAAAATGTGTGATTATGCCTGTATACGCATAACATAAAGGTTTGATATAAGGAATTGAGCTACCGTTGCCAAGGAATAGTAATTTTCAGGTAGGTTCCTGGCCTTGTTCCCAACACATTTTCTACACAGGAGTTAGAGGGAAGCAATGCAAAGTTAATATTGCCCAACATTCCTGGCAATTTTTTTTAAATCATGGATTGTCCAGCAGATGTTGAAGAGCATCCACGTACAGTAGTTGCTGCTGCTGCTGTCTTTCCTCAGCTCATCGTTCTCATTCCTTCCCTGTCGGCTCTCCACCATCACTCAAATCACTGGTGGCAGAGTCAGGGCTGATCACAGCCTGGTCAATCAGCATTATCACACTTTCATTTCCAGTTTAATGCCAGTCTGCTACGTTAGATTG